CCTGACTTCGCCCCTCGCCCGGCTCCTCCCCCCCGCGGCCGGTCTGCTTTGTTTTGTCCTGCTTTTCGGTGGGCCTCATTGGTTCCGGCTTCGCCCGGACGTGTGCACGTTTGCTGGGCGAGGGCCATCGAAAAACAAATGGGATCACCTTGCGCGAACACGATCGACCCGCGAACACGATCGACCCGCGAATTTGGAAAAGAAATTATACATGTTGGGGCATAGCTACGCTTTCGAGACACAGGATTGAAGGTATCGATCGTCATCTACCGTGCCAAGGATTGTGCCGTATTGTGCCGTGCTGAAATTGGATGCGTCATGCCGCTATGGATTGCTTTGTGTTCTATGGTGCTGTAGACCAAATCGTCTGGGCATCCGAGCCCTGACCGACTTGATCTAGATCTTAAGCTTGAGCTGCCTGAACGCATATCTGGCCCAGAGTTGGTTGCAATCGAAGTGTGTTGACCGCCCAATCAGCTCGAACCCAAGATCCGAGTTAGTTCCGAAGCGGGACGAGACGGCACGGGGCGCAGGGCGCATGGACGCGCCACGGATTGTGCCAGGGGCGCATTCGGGGATGCGTCAATGGACGTGTCATGGGAGGTGGCAGCGAACGCGCCACGGAACGGGCATGGAAACGCAAAGGGACAAACCAGGGAACGCGACAGACGACAAGCCAGGGGACGCGCCGTTGGGGTCAGGGGCATACGCCATCCTGGTCAGGGGCGTTAAAAGCCCATGCGTTTCCACGCATGCCCCGTTGGGGCGTTAGGACCCTTAGTTTTTTTGTTTCGCGTGTCCAGGCCAGTCAGGCACGGATCGCTTACATGTGGCAGTGAAAACACGAGGTTCCAGCTCGGAACAACCATGTTCGATGCCGCCTTGGGTGGCCAGGACACGTAAGCATGATCGGCCCACGAACTCCGAACATAAGTTAAGCAACGCGAGGCGCGGCAACGTTTTGAAAATACTCGATTGGGCAACGTGCGCTTGCACAGCTGATGGTATATGTCGTGGTTCATTGTTCCAGAGGTTGTGCTGTGTTGTGCCGTGCTGAAATGGGATGTGTCATGCCACGATGAATTGCGTTGTGCTCTATAGCGTTGCGGACCAAGTCGTCTTGGCATCCGAATATTGACCGAATTGATCTGGATCTTAAGCTCGATCTGGCTGAGCGCATAGCTGGCCCAGAAATTAATGCAGTCGAAACGTGCGGGACGCTCAATCAGCTCGAGTTCAAAAACCGAGTCAGTTCCGAAACGGGACGAGACGACACGGGGCGCAGGGCGTCTGGACGCGTCACGAGTATGCCAGAGGTGCACTCGGGGATGCGCCAGGGGACGAGCCAGGAAACGTGGCAAGGGTCGCGCCACGGAGCGGGCAGGGAAAACGCCAGGGGACAAGCCAAGAAACGCGACAGACGACGAGCCAGGGGACGCGCCACGGGACGCGGCGCAGGGGCGTGCCAAGGGGGGTGCCAGGGGGCGTCACGCCAAGGGGGCCAGAGCCAAGGGCTTCGCTTGATTTGCGGGTTGGGGCAGCTCGAGCTCCGCCCCAACACAGCGCGACCAGTAGGAACAACGCGAGGGGACGATTTGACCAGCGGTGAGAGGCCGACGCGCCCCCGCGGTCACCCAGGCGGCCTTCGGCGCTCCTGGAGGCCGCGCCATGGACCCCCGGCGCCAGTTTCTTCGCGTTTTGTTCCCTGCACGCTCGGGCTTTGCGATGCCCAGGTTTTTACCTTAAACCTGGTCATTCGGTTACCTTGTGCTCACCCGTTGATTGGGCTTTTCGCCCGTACTCGGGCTTTCTTTCGCCGCGTGGTTGGGACTTTGCGCCCCTCCCCACTCCTCCTCTTCCTCCTCCCTGTCCGCGCCGCCATGGCGCTGCCCCCCCCGCGCCCTCCTGGCGGCCCGTCATGCGCTTCATGTTCGGCAGGGGGCTCCTGATGTTGTTCGGCAACGGGTGCGCACGGGAACCGCTGGCTCGCGTCCTCAGCTTGCGATCGGCCTTCACCTCGACCGCCACCTGGTCTTGGGTTGTTGGTCGGTCTTGCGCTTTGGGCTTCCTTGTGGTTCCCTGTCAAGGTCTTCCTCTGCACGGCCTTTTTGTATGGGTGTCCCGTCCTTTCGGCTCCCACCCGGAAGGCATCTAACCATGCTTTGGCTTCGTACCTGGTCCTTTCACTCGGCCACTACAAAGGCTTTACAAGGCAGGCTCATCATATTTAGCCGCAGTTTTGCCAGCGTCTTTCCGTTTTCACGGTGTGTGTACCTGGACTGCCAGCCATTTGGCACCGAAGGCTTCCATTCCAAGTCCAGTTCATCACGCGGATTCCTTTACAAGGCCCGCCCATCTTAGCCGCAGTTTTGTCAGAGTCATCCGTTTTCACGGTGTGTACCTGCGATTAGAGCAATTTGGCACAAAGGGCTTCCATTTCAAGTTTGGCTCATCTCTCGAGCCTTCATTTTGACGACGCCATCTTTTGTCCCAGTACATCCTGGTGCTCGTCGGCAAGAAGTAGGCCTTCCACTTGACGCTGGTGACCCGCTGTTCGAAAACAGCTGCATGTACTGTTTCCGCACTCCCGCGCCGACCTACATGGTCTGATCGGGCTCCGTCTTTGCTCTCCTCTGCTGCAGCCCACCGCTTGCTTGGACCGGCGCCTCACCGTCTCGCACACCCCGGCGCCCGCAGGCTTACAAGTGTGTGCGCGTGTGTGGTGTGTGGATTTAGTGTTGTGTTTTTTGCTCCTGGAGGCTTTTGAAGGCATACATGGAAGGGCAGGGGGGATGAGGAGCATGATGATGATGGTGATGATGCTGGTGCTGGTCATGGTGATGATGGTGATGATGATGATGATGATGACGGTGATGGTGATGATGATGATGATGATGATGATGATGATGGTGGTGGTGGTGATGATGATGGTAGTGATGCTGCTGGTGATGGTGAGGATGATGAATATGATTATGGTGATGATGATGGTGGTGGTAATGACGATGGTGATGTTGATGGTGACGATTTTGATGATGAGTATGATGATTGCAGTGCTGACGACAGTGGTGGTGGCGATGGCGATGGCGATGCTATAGGTGAAAGCGCTGATGATGACGATGCTGTTGGTGATGATTTAGACGAACATAAAGAGATTCTGATTCTGGTAATGATGATGGTGATGACCGTGGTCATGCTGATGATGACGGTGGTGATGATGATGATGATGATGATGATGATGATGATGATGATGATGATGATGTTGTTGAAGAGCTGATGATGATGACGATGGCGCTGCTGATGGTGGTCGTAGTGGTCATGGCGCTGGTGATGATTGTGGAACTTGCTACGTGGCTCGTGTGATGATGATCGTGGTGGTGATGATGACAATGGTGAGGAGGATCATGGTGGGTTCGTGGTGGATTTGAGGCGAGCCAAGATGTTTGACGGATGGATCTCATCAGCCGCGGCCCCCAATGGGGGTTCGAGGTCTTTTTCCGAAGCAGTGATCCATCCTATATCCATCTTTGGGGGCCCCAGGGCCTGGCAGCGGCCTCCCTTGACGGGGACACGTTTTTGCTTCCCGCTTTTGTTTGGCCTTCCGGTGGGTATGGAAACGCATGCGGGGGGATGGGGGCGGGCGGTCCATATTATTTCGGCCCGAGCAGGTAATTTTGTGATTCGAGCATGTCCGACGACCACGAGGACCGTGGCGATGACGACGGCGATGATTAACGTGGCGCGAGGAGGTGGAAGGCGACGTTGGCGGGGCTCGTTTCGACTCCTCCGATTCGATTCGATTCGATTTCGAAGGCTTCCGATTCCGATTCGCTTCGACTTTGGGATTCTGATTTGGATTCCGACTTCTTATGTGACGCTTATTAGCCTGCCGATTTCCGCCGATTCGAGGTTTCCCGACTCGGCTGCCGATTTCCGCCGATCCGACTCATCGATTCGATTATGGGCTCTCCTGCGGTTGTGGTGGTGACTGCAATGGGGGCGGTGCCGACGATGCTGGCGATGACTGATGACGAGCTTGCTGGCGGTCATGACGATTGCGAGGGAGACGGCGGATGGCGGCAGCCAGCGGTCGACGGCGACAGCGGGATCGCGTAGGCGTGCCGCCCCCCCGAGAATTCCAGCAAGCCGCGCGGACCTGGCGGGCGGGGCAGGCTGGTTCCTGGGCGCGGTGGATCGAGTGCACCATCTGTAAGCTGGTGATGCACATTGGTTTGATTCCAGGCCATGGCGAACACTGCGCAATAAGCCAGGGGCTTCTTCAACGAGTGGCTTCCGATGCGGTTTTTGGCGGTTCCCCTGAGGGTTCCGATGGTTTCCCGTGGTTCCCCGTCGATCCCCTGCTGAGCTTCCCCCCAAGCCAGCACCATAATTTTGATTCGGAGGCTCTCGCGCGTTCCCGCTGCGCAAAGGCCATTGCCACGCCTTACAATATTTCATCCCCGACGACATCCGCACCGGTATCATCCCCGCCGCTGCCCTCATAATCGCCCACATCCGCCGTCCCTGTTGCCACCTTGTTCGCCTGGCGATTACTACCCCAGTCCTGGATGGCTTAAAGACGCAACGGCAAGGCGAGCCCCCTGTTTCCTCGGGGAGAAAGTTTGGGGAACTCTGGCGCTTTGAACATCAGCCCGCCATGTGCCTTCAGGGGCAGCGACGGGGAGGATCGGTTCAGGGGAAGCACCGCCCCCCAATCGCCCACTCCTCGCCAATCGGGGCCCGGGCCCCGCGTCCGCTCCTGGAAGCTGCGCGCTCGCCGTCGAGGGCCTGTCGCCGCTCTGTCGGACACGCAGCGCCGATGCCCAAACAGCCGCCCCTCCCGTGGGCCAGTTCCCGCGCTGCCGCTCCCCGTCAGGCCTGGGCAGCCGTGCCGCATGGGAAAATAGCATAAGTATCAACGTTGATATTTGATCATCCTGTCATTGCCAAGTGATTGGATCAGCGCTACTTCCATCCAGGGGGGGGTGCGGTCCCGCCCGCAGGCGATCCATGGCCTCGACGAGGAGACCATGCAGTGGCGCTTCGGGAGGACGCCCGCGCCCCACGGCTGCCGCGCTGCGGACGCCCCCCCGCCCCCGTGTCGCCGCGCCCCGGACCCTTCCTCCTGCTCCTGCCCCCGATCCTCCCTCCCACCCCGCCTGCTCACCCCCTGCTCTTCCAGCCCAGGAAAGGAAGGCGACCAGAGTGCCTCAGGCCATGCTGCGGCTTGGCGGGCCTCCGCGTGTGCATCATCACAAGTGTCATGACCTCCTCTTTCTTCTCGCGCCTTGGTGCTTCTGCTGACGTTGCTGCTGCTGCTGCTGCTGCTGCTCCTCCCCGTTTGACCTTCGGCCTCCTTCTCCCTCCGCCCTCCGCCCCCGCATCCTTCACGTCGGGGTGTGGCTCCGCTTCTGTCTCATCCTCCATCTCCACCTTTTGCCTCCCTGGGGCTTGGGGACGGGGCACCGCGCGCCACCACTGGCTCCATCTCGGGGCCCGTCTTGATCCCCGAGGTGGCGCGCGGACTCCTATGGTCTCGGCTAGACGTGTCGCACGCCATCGCATGGCCCAAGACGGAGTTGGCCAGGGCTGGTGGCACCTGACGTCGTGAAAACAAAACGACCACGCCGCCTCGGCAAAATCACACGGCCAGAGCTCTCGACCCCGCCGCCGTGGGGGGTTTTCTCGTTCCGTGAGGGAGCCCGGGTCCCGAAGCGAAGGAAGGAACGCCCCGCGGCGATTCTGCCGCGAGGCCCCGAGGCGAGCCCTCCCCTCGAGGGCGCGCCCGCCAACCTCTCTCCCCCCAACGGGACCGGGGCAGCGGCGGCGCGGGCCGCAGCCGCACTCGTCGCCCTGCTCGTCGTGGCCGTTGGTCGCCCTCGACGCCCGACGGCGTGCCGACCAGAGCTCCCGGGCGAGAGCCCGAGCGTGGCGGGCGAGGGCCCCCGAGGAGCCGCCCGGGACCCGTCGGGGGGAGCTCCCGAGGAGAGGCCGCCGCCTCGCTGAGGACTCCCAGGAGGGCCTTGGCATCGCTCGGACGTGTGCATTTTTTCTCGGCGACGGCCATCGAGGACCATCCTTGATTATTTGGCGAACGAAAACACGCACGAAATCGAAACATACACGAGGAATGGACGTCCGAGCGATGGCGAGGGGCAGCCGGCGACCCGCAGACGGCGCCCAGAGACACCACACTCGGGGAAGCGTAAGACTCGAGGAAGTCTAAGTCGGGCCTGTCCCTCTACAGGGGGAAGTGCAAAAATAGTAAAAAAATTGTCAGGGGGCTATTTTTTTGAGTATTTTTGGATATATTTTGACTTTAAATTTCTCGTTGAAAATCCCCCTGTAATGGGGACACGCCCGACTTAAGAGTAAGTCGGGACCCGGGTTTGCCGACGTTTTTTGACGAGCGTGTCCTGGATTTTGACGGTCCCGTTTTCGTGGGATGTTTGCAGCGGGAGCTCGTATCAAATCTCAGACTGGGTCTCGTCATTTCGATGATGGCCCCGACAGGCCAACCCGAGTCCCCCATTCACGAGTCTTACGTCTCCCCGACACACCACCATGCCTGGTCGGGGCCATCCTGTGTCCTCAGATGGTGTACGCGCCCTGCTGGCCGAGGCCAGCAGGGTGCGCGCACTCAACCGGGGCCCGGGAGGGCCCTTGCCAGACTTGGCGTCGGTGTGCAGTGCCTTCTGCTCAGATGAGCCTACGAGGGTAAAGTCCACCTCCTCCTCGGAGGAGGAAGAGGAGGAGGACTCGGAGGTGTAAGACGAGGAGGAGGATGAGGCATGAGGATGATGATGGTGGGTAGACGAAGACTTGATGATGACGATGATGATGCTGCTGATGATGACGCTGATGATGTTGCTGATGCTGTTGATGTTGTTGTGGTTGTTGATGGCGATTCTTCTGATGATTCTGCTGCTGATGATGGTGACGATGATGATGCTGATTATGGTTATGACGACGATGATGATGATGGGGATCATGCTGATTACGTTGATACTTGTGATGATGATGCTGATGTTGATGCTGATGATTTTGATGGTGCGGTTGGCGACGATGATGATGCTGATGATGCTGATGCTGATGAAGATTATAATGATGATGACGATGATGATGCTGCTGCTGATGATGATGATGATGATGATGTCGATGCTGCTGCTGACCACACTGATGCTGACGATGACTACGGTGATGATGCGGATGACGGCGATGTTTTTGCTGATGATGGTGATGGAACGACTGATGAGTGCGACGACGTCGATGATGATGACGAGGATGGTGATGATGATGATGATGCTGATGACGATGATGATGTTAATGATGATGATGATCTTTATTGCTGCAGTGATTGTTATTGTTTGCGCTATTGTTATTGTTTTACGTCGTACTGCTATCATGAGTATTATATGTACTATGGTTTTTTGTATTCGTATAATTCTTATTCGTATAGTTGATGTGAATCTTCTCGTTCTCATTATCATTATCGTTCTCGTCATCATTCTCAATATAAGTATTATTTGTAATAGTATTATTGATTAGTATTCCTATGCTTCTGCTGGTGATGAGGATGATGATGCTGATGATGATGAGGAAGAGGAGGAACGGGGAGGAGGAGGAGCGGGGGGGAGGGAACGGAAAGGGCCGAGGAAGGAAGGGGATGGTGATGATGAGGTTGATGATTATTCTGATGATGATGATGATGCTGATGGTGATAATGGTTATGACGATGCTGCTGATGGTGGTGATGACGATGCTGATGATGATGATGGTGGTGATGATGATGATGACGATGACGATGACGATGTCGATGATGATGAGGAGGAGGATGCTGCTGCTGATTATCATTATTGTTCTTATTGTTATTGTTCTTGTTATCGTTAGTTTCTATAGTCATTATTATTATTGCAATCCTTAATTTTGATGATGATGATGATGATGATGATGATGATGATGATGATGCTGATGCTGATGACGACGATGATGATGATGGTGATGCTGATTAGGATGATGGTCATGACGTTGATGATGCTGATGCTGATGTTGATGTTGTTGTTGATATTTCTTCTGCTGCTGATGCTGAGCTCATGCTGCTGCTCATGATGATGGTGTTGGTGATATGGTGATGAGGAGGAGGAGAAGGAGGAGGACGAGAAAAGAGGGAGGTTGAGGAAGGAGGAGGAGGAGGAGGACCAGAATGAACCCAAGACTCGCCAACGATGTTGCAATAAACCCTTCATCCAAGTTCCCACTCCGTAGGCCCGTACACAGTTTTTATTTTAGGGAAGTGCCCCGTTCGAAGACTATCTTGCTAGACTCCTGAACCTTGCCAAAGCACCAATACTGGAACTTCAGCACCGCGACTCAACGTGACTGTCGTGCCCTTACAGTCCTACATCATGCCGAAGCAGTATTTCTTGGAACTGTTATAACATCTCAGCGCGAATGTTCTTGGCATTCAAGTTTACATGGTCATCCACGGAGCTTTCCACGTCATGTATTTTGCTTCAGCGGGCGGCTCCAGGGGGAAATAACCGATTTGACGTGTTATTTTGGGTGTACCGGACCATCCGTGATTTAAGGCCGCACCTTGGCCTGATGCCGGAACTTTTGAACACCCTTCCCCGGACATCGCAAGCATCTCCACAAGTTTCTGCACGAGCTAAGGTTTCACGTGTTGGCTCACCTATTGCAGGTTGGCCCTCGCGTGACTCCGGGTTTGTTTGGTGCGTGTTGCCAGCATTTTGTCACACGTGGTTCGATTACCGTATGTTTCTATTGTTTGTGCCAATGCCCGCCAGACTGCCTGACTGCATGTCAGCCGTTCGTGCATTCTTGGATTCTCCGCAGGAAAAAAATAATAACATCTCAGCGCGAATGTGCTCGGCCACATTTTGAAAAGGAACCTGCCTCCATCCGTGAAACTCTTGCAAATTTCTATACCGACTGTGCGCGGCGCTAAAGCGAGAGCCACATTTTCAAAAAAGATCGTCTCCATCCGTGAAACTCTGGCAAAGTGTAAAGACGAGTGTGCGCGGCGCTGAGGCGAAAGCCACATCTAGAAAAGGAAGCTCCCTCCATCCGTGCAACTCTTGCGAACTTCCAAGACTAATGTGTGCGGCGCTAAGGCGAGCGCCACATTTTGAAAACGACCCGCCCTCCGCGTGAGGCTCTTGCAGACTTCAAGCTTGCGACTCATGACTGGCGAGGAAGTCTCAGGCGTAACGCCCAGCCCGCCGTGCCGACACGTGTCGGGGTGCGACAGGGGGGGAGTCATTTGGAAGGAAACGGGATGGAAGAGGAGGCAGGAGGAGGAGGAGGCAGGAGGAGGAGGAGGAGGAGGCAGGAGGAGGAGGACGAGGAGGAGGAGGAGGAAGAGGAGGGGGAGGAGGAGGAGGAGGAGGACGAGCCCTTCAGTGCCCAGACGTCGCGCCCTGTCCGCCGCCCGTCGTTCGCCGGCGCCGCGGCCAGGAACTTCCTCGAGGGCGCCGAGCTCAGCATCATCCCTGCCGAGCACATGCGGCAGATCCTGGCGGCCGAGACCGCAGGCCGGCGCCCACTCCCCTCGGAGCTCTTCCTCGGCCTCCCATCCCTCCGCCTCGCCCTCCTCCTCCGCCTCGTCCTCCTCCGCCTCGTCCTCCTCCTCCTCCTCCTGGTCCTCCTCCTCCTCCTGCTCCTCCTCCTCATCCTCCTTCACCTCGTCCTCCTCTAGGATCTAGGATCCAAATTATTAGTTTTTTATTTTTATTTTTATTTTTCTCTTTTGTTGTGTGTGTGTGTGGGTTGAGCTGCATGGGCATCCAGAAACCTCTGGAGACTTTCGGGGACCTCGTGAATGGCTGCCCGTTGCCCCCCTCCTCCGCCCCGTCATCCCTGGCGGGCGCCGTGGTTTCGCCTAGCCTTGCCCGCGCCCTCCCGCTCGATTCGACAGGGTCTTCGGAGGTCTGGCCTCCCCTCGGAGGCTGCCAGAGGTTCTTGGCAGCTTTCGGAGGTCGTCGCCGTCCCCACGGCCGCACGCCTCGGACTTCTGGCCAGGGTGCGCTCCGGGGCACTCCCCCGGGGGCGTCGACTGTGGGGAGGAGGGGCCCTCGCACCCAGGCGTCGATCGGGGAGACGCGAGCACGAAGCGAGGCGGCTCGATGTGCGGCGGGCCACGCTGCCACACAGAGACCGGCTCGCGAAGGGCGGTGGAGCAGGCGGCCCTGGCCCGGCGTCGCCCGCGCGATCCCGTGCCAGATCCAGGGATCTGGGATCCCTGCTGGCATGCGCCTGAGTCGTGGGCAGAGGGCGCGACGGGCGCCCTCTGCCCACCCACCAAACCACCCCAACCCAACCCGAAGGCTCAGATTTACCCTCGATTTCCAGTGGGGGGGGGTCGGGAAACGTCGAAAAAACACGTGTGGAACCCTTACCCCCCCCAACCCGAAATTCGGGTCTTCGGGTTGGGTTGGGGTGGTCTGGGAGGTAGTCACCCTCTGCCCCCCCCCCCCACCTCGCCGGGACCCTCGGGGCCCTCGCGGGCCGATGCGGCCCCCGCGCACACAGAGGGGGCCGCTCCCGACGGCGACGGCGGTGGCGGCCGCGCTCCGGCCTGGCCCACCGTGCGCCGGGCGCCGGGGCGGGGCCGCCCTGCGGCGGCGCGCGGACGGGTGGCCCGTCCGTCCCGTCCCTCCCTCCCTCCCCTCCCCCTGTTGCTCCCTTCCCTCCCCTTCCCTCCACTCCCGTCCCCTCGCCCTTCCGCTCCCCTCCCCTGCCCCTCCCTCTTCCTCCCACTCCGAGTCGCGTCGATCTGTGATGCCCTGGAGCCCGACACCGACCCCCCCCTTCTCCCTCCCCTCCCCCTTCCCTCCCCTTCCCTCGCCCCTTCCTCACCCCCTCCCCCTCCCTGCCTTCCCTCCCCTTCCCTCCCCCCTCCCCCTCCCCCGCCCCCCCCCCTCCACAATTACACAATATGAAAATACTCTCCCACTTCCCCTGATGGCGTCCCCGAAGATATCCGACCCCCCCCCGCGTATTGTTTTTTACACAGGATTCCCGGGAAACGGGTTTTCGCTTGCGTTTTTTTCAAATGCTGCTCTCGCTGAGGCGCTGGCCTCATTTCTGCTCCCGAATCGTTCCGAATCGTGCTCCCGCTGCAGCGTGGGCCTCATTTTCGGATCGGTGTTTGGCCTCCATCGTTCAGAATGGCGTTCTCGCCCCAGCGCGGGCCTCTTCCTCGCGCGCCCATCCGCCTGCCACCACCGCGCCGCACCACCACCACCACCACCACCACCACCACCACCACCACCACCACCACCAGCACCACCACCACCACCAGCAGCACAACCACCACCACCAGCACCACCACCACCACCACCACCACCACCACCACCACCACCACCACCACCACCAGCACCACCACCACCACCAGCACCACCACCACCACCACCAGCACCACCACCACCCACCACCACCACCACCACCACCACCACCACCACCACCACCACCACCACCACCACCACCACCACCACCACCACCACCACCACCACCACCACCACCCACGCACATACGCACGCACGCACGCACGCACGCACGCACGCACGCGCACCACACCACCCACTACGCACGCGCACGCGGAGCCACAGGTCCGCTACGACACGCGTCCGCGGATAGAGAAAATCAGCGCCATGGTAAGGGATTGGAGGGAGGGGTAGGACGTCAGATATGACGCGAGCGCACCTAGCTTGCCTCCCCTCCCCTCCCTCCCCTCCCCTCCCCTCCCGTCCTTCACTTCCCTCCCTGCCCTCCCCGTCCCCTGCCCTCCCCTCCCCTCCCCTCCCCCTGCTGCTCTGTCCTCCCTGAGGCCCCGGCGCCTCGGATAATTCTTGCAGCGCCGCGAGGAGTCTCGCCTTCGAGCCCCACAGACACCATCTCTCTGCGGCGTTCTCCGAGTCGCGTCGATCTGTGATGGCCCTGGGGCCCGACACCGCCCTCCCCCCTCCCTCCCTCCTCTTCTGCCTTCCTCCTCCTCCTCCTCCTCCTTATCCTCCTCCTCCTGCTCCTCCCTCTCCCCCTCCTCCTCCTCCTCCTCCTCCTCCTCCTCCTCCTCCTCCTCCTCCTCCTCCTCCTCCTCCTCCCTCTCCCCCTCCTCCTCCTCCTCCTCCTCCTCCCTCCCTTCCTCTGCCCCCCGCCCCCTTTGCCCGACCGCGCAGGCGACTCTGTGCCCCCCGCCCCCTTTGCCCGACCGCGCAGGCGACTCTGTGCAGAAAACGGAGGCACCGCCGCCCCGCTGTGCTGGAGGAAAGGAGGTCCAGACCTCTCGAAGTTAAACTCTCATCCTCAGGTCTATCATTCATCGGCGTAGTATAATAATGCTAGTTATTATCTTTTGGTGCCAATGTTTGCTGTCTGTTTGGTAGTTGGTGTGTTGTTTGTTTCTACGTTGTTGTTTATCTAATCGCTGCGCTCATTCCGCTGGCCCTGGAGCGCTATTTGGGGACTCTTGGGGCAGTCTTGGG